TTTTTTTTTTTTTATATATATATAGATATTTGTTTTTGTTGTTTTTTGGGTGGGTGGTGGTGCGGTTCAGGGTACGAGTTCTGTTTATTGCATTTATGATTCAATGCACTAAAACAAACTAATACAAAGGTAAACGGATCATTGTAATACTTAGTTTATTTACATAATGACTTTAATTGCTGGATGTCCAGCCCCTGAGCTGCTGGCTCTCAGTAACTAAGCCCCCCTGAGCAGTTTAGTTGAATAGCCCTGGTCTAAATGATTATGGGTACAACTTCCTGTCTGACACAGGAAGTAGCGGTAAACATTGGTTAACCATGGTAGCGGAGCACGAACCGTGGTTTGTTTGAAAGTTATTTATATTCAGTTTAGCAGAAAAACGCTGTTTTTGTTTTGTTTACATTTATTTAATAACAGTAAAGTTGACTAAAATAGCCGTGCTGAGTTCAGGTACCTGTTGTGCTCAGTGCTGTAGTCAAGACCACCTGAGCCGAGACCAAGTCAAGACAAACACCAGAGTGTACTGAGACAATACCAAGACTTTTAGGGTCCGAGACCAAGTCGAGACCAAGACCTCAAGTCTTGGAGTTCAATCTTTTCACAGATTGTCTTACTGATTGACATCAGACATTCTAGGGTTTTTTGTGCACAATAATTTTCATGTCATGTGACCCACTGACACAAAATGTATGTTAAATTACTCTACTAGACCTGACAGATGAGGTACCCACATTTATTTAAGCATTTTTCTAATTTTACATAATTGGTTTGTTTAAAAATCATGGTTTTCACTCAATAACTAATTAGAAAATGCTTTAAAATGAGAAATAAATGATTGTCTTGTGTGTCAGATCTATTAGAGTAGTTTAACATTAGTTTTGTGTCAGTGGGTCAAATGGTATAAAATATATTAATTTTTATTTCTGAAGAGTGTTTGGTTCGGTAATTTGTTGACGGTCCCTAAGCAAACCATTACATCTCGGAGGAGGGCAGACTGAGCTCAGCTGACTAAAATCAGACTGCCTGCTTCAGATAAAACAAGAGGAACACACTGCTGAAGCCACGGAGCTCGAATGTCCAATGTAAAACTAACTTCACCGCGGTAGAGAATTGAGGCTCCAGCATAGCATGAACAGTTCAGAAACAATTTGAAATGAGGAAAAAAAAAGAAAGTGATTTATTAACTGATTAAGTCGTGTTTTAGACTGCTTATTGCTAACGAATCTATTCTGACCCTAAGTGCAGCCGTGACTGGTTCTGAATGAGGCTTTACAGCAGACAATCACTCTCTTCCAGGTACTGCATACCGGTGCAGAATCTTTTAGCAGTACTCAGTACCGGACCGTACCGACTTGCTTTCACCCCTGGTTGCGACGTTACGTTCTGTTGTCTGTATTTTCTGTTGGTACAGAGCCATGTGCAAGTGAAAGGGGGTGGGCGTGACAGCGGTCACAAAAACATGTATTTAGCAATGAGTCATGTTATCACTTGGATTTGAATCAGTACATTTTGCATCCAATAAAAACAAGTACGTTAACAAATAAACTGGACAATATTCTGGCAGTTTAGTGATATTTCCACAGTTGTGGTCTTGACTGGTCTTAAAATAAAATCCCGAGTCCTCAATGTCCGAGACCGAGACAAGACCAAGACCATCAAAAAGTGGTCTTGAGATCGGTCTCAAGACCAAGACCAGTCTCGAGTCCTACACTAGTTGTGCTATTTGCGGCTGCACAAACAATCAGACCAAACTAAATCAGTGGCTACAAGTGTTTTGAACACGAACCCAAAAAAAAGTGTTCCTGTGAAAAGTGCTATAGTTTCCATCGCCTACCTACAGATGAGGAATTAAGAAGAATATGGCTGAATAATCTGAACTTGAAGAGACCACCCAAAACGCTGTATGTCTGTGCTCATTTCACTTTCTTGACAAACGGCCGACGGAGGAGAACCTGCATCCTACTTTGTGGCTGGGCTACAATAAACCACCGAAGAAGAGATGCCGAATCCTCAGAAGGATTGAAAACAGTGTGACAAGAATATCAGGTATGATTTCAAGTGTATGGAGGGCATTATAGCATTATAGTACTTGTTCGTCTTTGGTGTTACGAGTTTTTCTGCAATTAACCCAAACTCAATGATGGAAGACTTTAAGGCTTTGTTGGGATCTATGTCTGCTTTAAGGTAAATAAGATGGTGTCCCACCTCTTTTAACAAAACACCACCGAACTTATTACTGTGTAGATACGAATACGCCTCAGAGATTTTCAGGTTGTTCATCACTTCACCATCAAAAGCAACCAAGTCAATGAAGTAGCTAAAAATTGCTAGTAAATGTAATTTGCGGCCACTTCTTCAGGTTGCCCTCCCGTCCCTCGTCCGCAGTTGGCAGCAGTATGATTATATTGTCCTGTTTGAGCTCTGACAGGTGGTGTTCCTACATGTTTAAATTAAATCCACAATGCTTGGAGAAATTACATTAACTCGTACGGTTTGCACATAAACAAACAACGGTTTTAGTCCGCACCGGAAGCTGCACCCATAATTCACGCGCGGCACCATGGAATAGGAATACGGTGGATAGAATGCAATTTTTTAAACAGACACATTAAATTTACATTTGATTAAATTTTTTGCAGTAAACCTACTTGTTTAGCAGGTGAGATGTTCCTCTCCCCCTCTCCCCCGATCTCATTTCTGAAACAAGGGCAGCTGAGAACCAAATCATTGCTCTTGTCATCACCAGGGTCTAAAGCAGGGTTGGTACCATGTCCTCCTCCGGTACCCTCTTTGCTCAACTCCTCCTGTGAGCCACAGGGAGACCCGTACGTTCCACTCTGGTTAGAGGAAAGGGAGGATGTGGCAGAAGCAGATGCAGCAGCAGCAGCTGAGGCACCAGTAGTGGTGTTTTTGCGCTTGGCCCCAGATTGCCGGTTCTGGATCACCTCATTGAGGTCAAAGAGTAAAGACTGAACATCAAAATGGGCAAAGCCTTTTTGACACACCCAGGGTTTAGGAGGTGGGCCACTTTCATCCCCTTTCCCACCATCTTCAGCATCTGAGCCAGCCCTCGATGTATCCCCCTCCACCTTCACACTTCGCAGTTTTCGGAATATGGACTCTCCACCCGTTTCTGACTTTGATCTTCTCTTTAGGTGCTTCTCTCGTTCCTTCAGCCGGCTGGCAGGACTACCTCGTGCTGGACCTAAGGGTCCATCTGGCAGGTCCAAGGCAGCCTGTTTTATAGGGGCCACAGTTAAAAGCTCTGTTAGTCTCTCTGGAGCTGGACTGCGCTGATCAGGGGCCTCCGATGACTGATATCCCTTTAGCATGTCAAAGAAGCTTTCTCCAGACACACCGTGTTTATCTATAGAGGATGTGCTGCCATACTCTCGGTGCATGGGTGTCCACCCAGAAAAGGACCATCCTTCATTCCCTTCCCCATCCAGCTCACTGATGGTTATATCACTGTTACTACGCTGGCGGATGCGTCTCATACCTTTGCGAGGTGAACCAAGATAACCATCTGGTGACAGGAAGCGATTGTCCTTCCCTTTGCTTTGCATCTTGTTCTTCAGTGTGTTTTGTATGTTACGCAGCATAGATGAGTCTTGTGGGCTTATCAGGTGACCCAACTTGGCTGAGAGATTGCTATGTGCTGTGACAGCTGACACACTTCCTCCTTCTCGCCCTCCTCCACTGCTACCACAACTACTTAGTCCTCCTCCTCCTCCTCCTCCTCCTCTTTCACTTCCTACCCCTCCCAAAAGTCTTTCTCTGTCTCCACTCCCTGATCCTGAAGAGCTGGTGGTGTTCGTAGAGCTAGGTGAATCAGTTTCTACTGTGATATGCCAAACACCCCCTCCTCCTCCATCTTTCCTTGGGGGCCAGTCAGCCACCCGGGCTCGAACCCCCATCTTAGGGACCCCAGGGTTGGTGCCAGTGGTTGAGGAAGAGGAGATGTGTGCGCTCTCACTACGAGGCGGTGGTGCCCCTCCATTGGGCAGTCGAAGGCGACGAGTATAGAACTCATCAGAAGCCGGCACGGAGCCCCCAACTGAGCGCTCAGTCTGAGAGCGCTTCAGACTAGTCATGACGGAGATGGGAAAGGGTGTGGGGAGGGGAGATGGGAGGAAAAGGTGAAAATAGGATGCTAATGATTTTAGATTTCAGACAACATATTGCCCTCTAAGGAAAATGAGGAGAGAGGTTCACATCTGGTGCTGCAAAATGAGCAAAGAAAAAAAAATTGATTGATTTTATTTATTTATTTTAAATCATAATCATAAAAGGATAATGAAAATCAAGAATTAAACTGTCAAATCATCTCCAATAAAAAAGAATAGCAAAAACTACATTAAGATAGTGAAATCTCAAAAACATCAAAACTAAATTACCAGTAACTGTGGCAGATAAAAATAAATTTGATTTTGTAATGAAATATTGGTACTAATACTACTATTTTTAAAAATAAACAAAGATTGAAAGCTTCATAACAAACACCAGTTTCAAATTTGTTTAAGTTATAATTATTTACTCCAAATCTTAAAACATTAAGCTTGTGTACCTTTTAAAAAGATGAAGCTTGAAGAACTTAATGTGTTGATGACAGATTCTCACAGCAGAAGTCTTTAGCAAGCCATTGCAATGGATTTATACAAGAAGAACTATATTTATCCAAACTGGGAAACTGGAACTCAACAACTGAGGACAGCAGCACCAAGACCCTAAAAATAGACAAAAATAGAGAGAACGAATTAGCCAAATCAAACAACCATATTATGTTCTGCAGAATGAAATTATAACATAATGTTTTATACTATGAAAGCTGCAACCAACGGTAGAAAATTTTAATATATATATTAAAGTAAAATTACAGAAGCTTTACGTTGTGATTTAACATCAACAACCTATGGTCCAATAATATTGTTGTACCAAATGTAAGATAAAGACATCTTAGACATTCAATTTCAATGTAAAATTATAAGGTCCTAGGAGAGTTGGTACCGTAAATATACAAAATGTTAATGTCAACACTTCCCAATATGTCTAAATCACAGTAAACGTGTGTAGATTGTTAGGCCTGGCACAACAATGTGGTATGTACCGTCTGTGGCTGCAGCTTCAGGATGCCAGACTGTGCGTTCTTGCTGGTTTCTCCATAATGTTACAACACCTCTCTCTTGTTCAACGTATTTTGCGTCATCATGAAGATAAGCACTTCTGAACTGGTCATGTTTTTCTGTGTTTTGTGTGTGTGTTATTGTGTGAAAGATAACAAATGGGATATAAACTATTGGCTTCATCCCACACTATAACAAGGTTAAAAAAAATTACCTCAGTCTGTTGCTGGAATTAGCCAGAGATCAGAAAAGGTTTTGGTTAATTTTCCCATTGATGTTTTATAATTAAATTAACTAAGGTTGAAAACTGAGTTCAACGTTTAACAACATGTTCTGTAAAAACTATGAATTTACTCTAAGAAACAAATTTAGCCTTTTCAAATTCCCATTGCATTTCCAGTAGTCTTTGTATAACTAAACTGTTGAACTCAGCTTCCCTGTTATTTTTTTCAAAATATTTTCCTAAAGCAGTCCAACTGAATAATAAGCCTGCACAGGTCTAAATTCATGCTGTCATATTTACATTAACAAACAGGCAAGCACAATAGCAGTGTGCCCTGATACAGTAAATTAAACAGGTTTTATTATGCAAACTAATAAAAAACAGCAAACAGCTGTTCAAACTTTAATTTTCAAGAATTTTCCACTACTTTTTAACACAGCTTCTATATGCACAAACACCCTAACACTTACAACAAAAAGACTTACAATGATAGAGTTCACAAAAGATGGGACAGATAATGTTTTCTGGCTATACAATAACCACTACATTAATCATTAGAAATGAGTTGACTGCTTGGCAGGTAATAATCCAAAAATACCATTTTCAGATTAACTGACTCAACTAGAAGATCCAGCACGGTAAAACCAACACTTTTTTCAGTTCGTGAAGGCATCACAGCCAAGCAGCTAATGTGTGATAGCATTAACACAAAGTTAACACAAAGTTATTAGCATAAGAATCAAAATAGAAAAACAAGGATTGTATTTTATTGGTGGTACAACTATTGATAATTATACTACTCAGTGACATATAAAGTTTCTAATGATAGCATCAGCTTTCAATTCAACAAGTGCTATTGCATCTTATTTTGTATGATCTATTGACAAATGTTAAGCAAGCTGCAATAATTTAATAGTTTTTCTTTCCTCAACCTACACATGCATTTGGTTACAAAAAATTATATTTAAATATCTAAAAATTCTGAAAGTAGGTGAAAGTAAATCCAGACAGACTATAGTCCCCATTAGTGAAAAGACAAGACAAGACTTTGTTAGCTTATCTTATGCTATCTGCACTGGTGGGGACTACAGACTGTCTGGATTTACTTTCACCTACTTTCAGAATTGTTACAATGTATATTCCAAAAAAGTTAAGTCTGGTCCTCTGGACATTCAAAAAAAAAATTATAGAAACGTTTCGTCTTTTATACAAAAGACTTCTTCAGTCTGAGGAGCTGTATTCAGCTCAGTCTTACAAATAGCACCTTCTCATAGTGGATCAACCAGTTTGCTGCGGACAGCCAAAACCAGCTGCTCACATGATCAAGGAGGACCATCACTCTAACAATGGATCATCATGCTGATGGTCCTCCTTGATCATGTGAGCAGCTGGTTTTGGCTGTCCGCA